ATACATACATACATATATATACATACATATATACATACATACATATACAATTGGTACGGAAAGTATTCAGACCCTTTTACATTTTTCACTCTTTGTTTCATTGCAGCCATTTGCTAAAATCAAAAAAGTTCATTTTATTTCTCATTAATGTACACTCAGCACCCCATCTTGACAGAAAAAAACAGAAATGTAGAAATTTTTGCAAATTTATTAAAAAAGAAAAACTGAAATATCACATGGTCATAAGTATTCAGACCCTTTGCTCCGTATTGAGTAGAAGCACCCTTTTAACGATACCTTTGACAGTCAACAAGCAAACATGACACCGTGACATTTTTAATAAGAGTTTGGCACTACCTAACTTTGGACAAAATGGTGTATTTCAAGCTAACAATCGTCGCTGCCTTCACCGGGGAAGCCGAGGTATCAGACCGTGTAAAGTCACTCTTGGGGGGGAAGAAGGGAAGAAAAGAAAAAAAAAAAAAAATCACAAATTTGCCTCAGAGACAAAGACAGAGGGCTTTGTCATACGACACATACGACATCTTCTGTCCCGGGACCCTCACATCGGAACAGGAAAAACTCTTAGAGAGACCAACAGAGGAGGGATCCCTATATTAGGATGGACGGAAGTGTGATGTCATGTGTACAGAATGAACAACATAACTTAACATAAATTATGAATAAAATGAGAGTAGTAAGCCTAATAATGATGGCAATTACAACTAACAACTAACAATAACAGCAGAAGTGGGATAAAGTAGAATAACAGCGATGACAAAAGCTGTAATGGTATCAGAATCAGAATCAGCTTTATTGGCCATGTATGCGTGTGCATATATGAAATTTGACTCCGGTTACACATTGTTCTCATCGTACATGCATAGATAGAATATACAATAAGCAAGAGAAATATAAAAACAAGGACATTAAAGACAACAAAGAAGAACAGAGAAACTAAGCATAAACATTTAACATTTAAGTACTAGGTACAAAATAAATATATATCGAAGAATATATATGAGCATAAAGAACAACAATGGTTTTGAGATATTAGTGCAGAAGGTGGTAATAGTGCAAATGAAGATGCAATATGTCTGATTAATTGTTCATCAGAGTGACGGCCAGTGGAAAGAAGCTGTTCCTGTGTCTGGTGGTTTTGGCGTACAGTGCTCTGCTCTGTAGCGCCTACCAGAGGGGAGGAGTTGGAACAGGTCGTGTCCAGGGTGTGATGGGTCTGCAGTGATCTTTCCAGCCCGTTTCTTGACTCTGGAGGTGTACAAGTCCAGGATGGGGGGCAGGCTGGAACCAATGATTCTCTCTGCAGACCTGACAATCCGTTGTAGTCCGTTTCTGTCCTGTTTGGTGGCCGATCCAAACCACACAGTGATAGAGGAGCAGAGAACAGACTGGATGATGGTGGAGTAGAAAATAATCACCAGCTCCTGAGGCAGGTTGAACTTCCTGAGCTGGCACAGGAAGTACAACCTCTGCTGAGCCTTTTTCCTGATGGTGTCGATGTTGAGGGCACACTTCAAAGCCTAAACCGTGACAAAAGTAGTTACATTTAAAACAAACATTTAAGCACTTGGAGCAATGTGATCGATGTGTGGTATTGCTACAGTTGCATGACGACATAGTGACAAAGTATCAGTTTAGCGTAAAAGTTTTACAGTATATAATTACTTAATTACATTGGGTAACATAGAGTAAAAGTGTAACTTTGTCAGGAACTATATCCAAAATAACAGATAGCTAAAACACATACTATACCATTTAAAGACGATAGGGTAAAACGAATGAGTGACTTAATGAAAATAAATATTTTATGGAACAAAGATTCTAATACGAATTAAATAATCATTAAATCTTGCTGTATAAAGTTTCAAGTTCAGGTATCATTGTTATTGCACAAAAGTTGTACTAGCTACTATGGAAGGCATGTAACAGCTATGGAAGGCATGTAACAGCTATGGAAGGCATGTAACAGCTATGTAGCATCGCTCAAAGTGAGGTGTTTCGAGAGAGTTAAACCTTTACGATGACAATAAACTTGATTTAGAGTCACATGGATAAAGATCCAAAAAGACTGAAAAAGTGAGTACCAACATTACACAAAACCTTAAAATAGGACTGCAAAAAAAGTTAGTTTATCCAAAAGTATTATATGTTGTGAAATGAAATGTTAAAGTCACTCCGATTAAACTCCTCATTCATGGATGGATCACTACAGAAGAGGCTGCTGGACATTAAAATACTGAAAAATAATAGATAAAGATAGAAGAATAAAAACACATCAATTATGTAATTACACGATTTCTACATTTCAAAAAGCAGGATTTTACGCATGCTCTTGACACGAGCTGTGAGCCAGTATCAAGTTTGCAAAAATGAATGATTTAACTCTCACTCCCAATTTTCAAAATAAACTACAGGTTTTAAATTGATACAGAACATTAGGTATTAAAAACATTGGAAGATATTTTCCCGCAAAATATATAGGCTATGGTGAGCCATATCGTGTGCAACAGGAGGATGCAGAGACGCTATTCAGTATATCAGATCAGAATGACACTACTAAAGCTTAGAAACATTTCTTCCTGCGAATACGAATGCACTGAATTTTATTTTGAAAGGATTAACATCCTGATTAACCCGACAGTGTAGTACGCAGTAATGCAGCTGCTATCAGCGTCCCTACATCTACCACTGAGACAGCCTGGGTACCCATAACAACGGGCAGTGGTAACGCTAGTATCCCTTTTCCTTCCACTTTAATAGAATAAAGGAAATCATGGGAATTACTCCAGGCCACTGCGGGTACAGCAGCCACAGAGTGTATGCCTCATTTGTTGACTTACATCTGGGAATATAACTGCTGACTAAAAAACCTCTAAAAAACACGTCGGGACACTTTATCTCCATCTCCACCATTTTGGTTGTCGGTGATGGAGCACATCCGGACGCCCAAGGTAACAACACTCGGCATTTCAACATCTCGCCTGCCTCCGTCCGTAACACGGCACAATGTCGATCAATTCTCTGTAAAGCATCTCCGAACTGATGGGGCAGCCTGCAGGAAGACGTCCTCTGATGGGGGACACCATGCTAGCAGGAGGCTATGTGTCCAGACGGTGGAACCCTGTTTGTTTTGTCGCTTAGCGAATACTAACATACCGTTTTCACAGGAAACATCAAATCTCTGCGAAGCTAACATTATGTGTCCGATAAATGACTCATCCATTGAATCCCTAACGTAGCCAGCTCTAGTATTTGGCTATAATGATGCTCATGTGCTCCTGTTGCCAACGTTTTTTCTGACTACATATGGAATATGAATGTGTAATTATATTCTGCTCAACCATGATGTAGCATTGTGCTGGCAGACAGGCCAACCCCCCCATCACATCACTGGTCTGACGGTGTCTATAAACATGAATTAGTTAATAGGCCTATGCAGAATCTGTACTGATACACTCACTACACAAACAAATCCTCTCAACTAGTGCAAACACAATGACCTTGATTTTCAGACACTTTAATTTGAGCTCAGTGAAATCTGTCGAGTCATGCCAGAGTGAGCAGTTACTACAGTTAAATAATGCGTGTTGTGTTCATGTGTGTGTCTTAGTTAGTGAGGAGACATATTTCCTAACTATTCGTCATGTTTGATCCGAGTATTGTTCCATCGCTAATAATTTGTGCCTCCGGTAGGTGGAAAATGTGCGTCTCCTGGACCGGTCGTCAGGACAGAGAAAGGCCAGCGTCGGGACGCTCTACCTTTCTGCCACGCACACCATCTTTGTAGAAAACAACCCTGAGACACGCAAGGAGACATGGGTAAGCTGGGCACTACACTATGAGAACTACCTCTACACTTGATCTGGGTCACAGTCAAGGTGCATACATTTTATTATTAATAAGATTAATAATATGCACACTGTATTTGTCTTCGTCCATCGTCACACTGAACAACCTGTTGTTCCTGATGAATCCTGGCTTTCTTTCTTACTTTGCTGACTCATGTCCCAGTCTAACTCTGGATTGGCTATTGGCTCCTGAATAACCTGCTTTCAAGTATTCCTCTATCCATTTATCCACCAAGAAACAGAATATCTGCCTATTTGTAGATAACGATGTATCTTTATTGTTTTTCTGTTCTGCAGAACAGAAAAACAATTGCCCACATTTGTACCCTTTACATGTACGCCATGTAGCGTAGGTTTTTCTCACAACTATTCAAAGTACACGGGAGAATAATAGAAATGCTACCCTGACAATTTAATAAAAAATATCACATATTGGAGAAAGAACTAACCCGACTAGCCTGCTAACCCAGCTACAAAATGCAACGCAAGCAAAACTCAACCAATTAATGTGTTTCATTGAAGTCAAGTGTATTTTACGCACACATCATAAATCAAATCAAAACGGATAGTTTCTTTTCAAATACAGAATTAAACACAAAAAAGTTAATTAAATCAAATAAACCACATCTCCGAGTCCAGATATAGAAATCAAATGTTCATTGAGTAATCAAAATTAAATGAGGACTCCAGGTGAATGTCAATAGTTTATGTGCAAGTGATAAGGTGCGAGTGGCATGCGCGTGTGTTGGGGTGTTGTAGTTCCGTTCCAAAACTAAGGGAATATATTTCAGTTCACTTCAGTTTATTTCAGGGTGTTTAAGTGTGCTAGGAGAAGAAGAAGGAGAAGCCTGGAGAGTTTCAGTTAAAGAGACTTATCTTGATGAATCCCCGAAGTTAAGGAGGTCTCAAACTGGTCCAAGCTGTAGCGGAACACGACTCTTTGTTCACCACCTGCTCCCGGGATCAGCATTTTCTTATTTTGAGCTTAACAGGTCCAGAAACTGAATCATACTTTCGGTAACTTCATTAAAAACTCCCACTCCTCTCTTGGTTCTCCTCCATGTAGCTTTGGTTAGTTAATTGGTTTTCCCCCCTCCCCCAGCTCACAGGTGTGTCTCATTTATAGCCTCTCTTTCCCCACCTTCTTTTCCTGTCAGGTTGGAAAAGGGCTATTCTGTGTATTTCTGTTCTGCTACAGCCAACAGCAACCTCTCTCCTGAGATGTAAAGCAGAACGTAGTAGTATAATACTTAATATAGTACTACTATTTGTAGTGAATGGGGAAACTGATTTAGTGTAGGCTGAGATTGTGGATAGTTCTTTGGACAACATCCTAACATTAGGATATAGATTTTTTTGTTTATTGCTTAGTTGGAAATTATCTAATTACATTTAATAAATCTAAATATGTCATTCTACAGTTCCTCCTCTTCTGTATTATTAAGGTAGAATTGCCATGATGACAGGGCACTAGGAAGCTAGCCTTGTTGAGCTTCAGTATGATTTGAATCAAGCAGGCTGAAATCTCCATCTTGCATGTTTATATTTGTGAAAGAAAATCATCCTAACTTTTCAAAAGAGGTGCTATTATCTCATCACTATTCGTGATGATGGATTGTGTAAGTGCTGAGTCTCTAGACTCAGGAAAGAATGATCTCCTCCTTCCCCATTTTAAATCTCCTGCAGGAGGTGGTGGAGGATACTGTCCTGGCCCCCTGGACCTGACTAGATAAAACAGGCATCCAGGGGTGTCAGATTTCACCCAAGGCAGAAACTCTGTCAACCGGATTAGCAGAAACAAAAAAGACAGATTCCAATTAGCTTGTGTAAAAACATGACTGCAACTGTCTTCTTCTTCTTCTTCTTCTTCTTCTTCTTCTTCTGCTTCTTCTTCTTCTTCTTCTTCTTCTTCTTCTTCTGCTTCTTCTTCTGCTTCTTCTTCTTCTGCTTCTTCTTCTTCTTCACCAAACAGCATTCACTTCAGGTGAGAAAACCCCAAAAGATTCCTATTAAACTGATGTTGACATTCCTATCTGAGTAATATAGCTCACAAAACAGATACACAATAATGTGACTTGTGATGAGGCTATTTATTTTAATAGTGCTGATTGATATCACTAACTTCTGTTCACATTAAAGCCCCAATAGTTATTTACAAAATTACCTGAGAGAAATAAATAGAACACTGTGTGTGTTGTGTTTGTGTGCACCTCTTTATGTTGGATAATTGGATAGCTGTGTGTCTATGGGTGTTTCAGGTGTTGCACAGTATGGTGAGCAGTGTGGAGAGGCCACCCACCATCCCTGTAGGAAGTCAGCTGATCCTGCATTGTAAGGACTTCCGGGTCTTCCAGATCCTCATTCCGCAAGAGAGAGACTGTTTGGACGTCCACACGTCATTGGTCAGATTGTCACGGCCAGGTGTGTGCGTGTATTTATGTATGAATGTTGTTAAATGTGTGTTAGAGGGATTTCATGCACACAAGACTTGTCTGGCAGGGTGTCATGACAGGTGTGTTAGTGTAATGCTTTTACAGTATGTTAAATGTATATAGGATACTGATTTAAAATGATCCTCTCCTCAGAGAAGTACAGTGAGCTGTACTGCCTGTCCTTTAATCCCAATGTGAACAAAGTGGAGAGAGAAGAGTCCTGGAACTTCATAGACCTCATGGCCGACTTCAAGAGGATGGGAGTTCCTAATAACTTGTGGGTCGCTACAGTGGCCAACAGCGAATACAGGGTCAGTCCATCTGTTACTTGTGCGTAACGTGTAGAAATGTGTGTCGGGTATAAAAGTGTTTTTTTTTAAAGAGGAATAGAACAACCCGTCAGTTGGGGAGTTTGACTTTGAGAAGAGAAGAGATAATGGCTACATTTATTCTGGATGATAGTGTTAGAGATGAAATATATTTCATAAAACAGGATGGACTTGAAGTGAATTTGTACCTCAACTAAAGTTATACTCTGATATACTCTGTCTATGGTTCTCTTGTTATTTGGAGTGAATTGTATCAAGGCCATTTACAAGGTCATAGATAAGATAGTACGAGTCCTCCTTCAGCACTGACTGCTTATCAGCAGCTAGCTACCTTCTCTAACATGAGGTGTATACAACAGTCCTCTCAAAGTCAGACCATAGAGTATTAACTCATTTTTAGCTGGACCGCCGCATAGCGGGGCCAGCCCTATAAACGGCAAAGTCTGTCCATGACTGATTGAGTAACACTATTAGTCGGTTGAGTGTTAGCGCTTCTCCATCGACTCCTTCAAAATTAAACAGGTGCGACAGTGTTTTCACTTGCAAAATTTTACATGGGGAACAATATTTTCTAAGGTAAAGAGAAGCAGACAAGGTAGGCAATGCTCAAGACTATCTTTTCAAAGTGGTTGCCAGGCTGGCAACCAGGCATTAGCTTTTGGTTGCTGAAACTGATATTATGGTTGCCATTTTTTGTCACCTTATATTTTTTATCTGATATTTTACAAAATCTTAAGTGTCCTCAATTCCTGGTATACAAAATACCAGTAATGCAGTTCTAATGTTCTTCACAGATCCCTCCAAAATTAATCCAGCAATTCACTGGTTGCTTGTTCATCAGTTCTCTCCCTTTAAAATTTTGTTTTCTGGACCTTTGTGCTGACTCTGACCACAGATTCATTGGCCCTTAGGCACCGAAGTCTTGGATTGTGAGTTCCTTAAGTGACACCGACATCAGCTTGTCCATCATTTCAGAGATGATCTCCAATCTGTCTTGATTCTGCTTAGACAGATGATCCCCTCTCACATACAGCTGAAGAGACTGGGAGAGCCAACACCATTGTGCATGAGGCTCTAAAAATATAATATCCAATATTTAAATATCATTACTTCAAAACATATTTCATAAATATTTATTTATTTTGGCGTACATGTTTTGCTGTTTGTTTTCCCTATTTATTATGTCCCTATTTGGTGGTCAAAGAACTACCAAAGGCCAAGAATTGCTTCCCAATGGCAACCAGGCAACCCTCACTGTTGAGCCCTGGTAGGTAAAATGCACAAGCATTTAGCTAGCTAAGTTAGCTAGACCAGTGGTTCTCAACTGGTCTGGCTGCGGGACACACCATCACCCCTTAATGACAAGCCGCGACCCAAATTATATATATATATATATATATATATATTCAAGAAGTCTAAAATAAATTATGTAACAGAATTCATTTTAGAAAAGTTATTTTCACTGAATTGCCCTGCAGCTTGAAATTCAGTTCATTCAGGGTGAATAGAAAAAGCCACAATATTATATTTTTCTCATCTTCTAAAAAGAGAAATTAGTGTGGGAAAAATTCACTTATATAAGTCTGTCCAGTCTAATGACTCTCTGGATATTTTTCTCTTTTGGAAATCATCCTATGATTTGACTTTCGCAACTAACACTTTAATAGTCCTGCTCTGCTCTCTATATCCTCGTCTCTCCCCCGTATGTCACGGTATGTGTACATCTCACTCAAATCAGGAAACTTGTCAGAATGCCCATATTTGATTGGCTGAGCTTTATCACATGATGTGATTCACAACGCATTGGTCGGTGTTTTTCCTGCACAGCTGAACAAGTGCGGTAAATGCTGGAATAATTCCTCTGCATAAAAAATGCCCTTCAGAATAAGATTTCCATTTATTTATTTTTGTCAGGCAAAGGCCCGCGGTCACTGAAAACGGGTCCGCGACCCAAAAGTGGGTCCCACCAGTTGAGAATCACTGAGCTAGACTATATGAGCATAACATCTTGACTGATAGAATAATGTAGCCTAAATTAATGTGATTTCCTAGGTGTTGTTAGTAATCGGTTATTACTATCACTGAAACGTCCCTCTATTGCTGTTTGTATTCCTTGAAAGACAGAGGAGGACAGAAGACCTCAGGAAGGGACAGATGAGGAGAAAGAAGCAGGAGACAAGGATAAGAAAGTGTACAGGCAAGGGAAACAAGAGAGAAGAGGAAAGAGAGAAAGATTAAACAAGCTCACAAAAAACTTCCAAAGATAGGAAGTTATGATGTGACCCAAATTAGCCTGAAAAACAAAGGTTGTACTATACTTAAAATGGTTACGTTTTAGAAAAATGTCTGCATTTTTGTCAGTACTATATTCTTCACATCATCAGGAGGGTTTTACAGCAATGGGCAGACATTTGACTCAAACATAGCTCAACCATGTCATTTGTTATGCTACTTCAGTACACTTTAAGAACAAATATTACTGGGACCAGCACAGAAAATTATTTAATGTCCAAGAATTGACATTATAGACAGCCTGACTACCCGTGTACCAATTTGACAACAATTTTTAGCACATTGATCATACACTGTCCAGGTTTTCACCTAGTCTTGTTCAGCTCAGTCTAGCTTTAGACTTTATATTATTACATTATATTCACTATGCTGGTGGACTGCATATAGAATGCATATTCGCAAAACTTGTTTTAATATTAAATTAAGAAAATATAATTAAATAGTTATATATTAATCAGGAATAGGCACTCCTGTTCCCTAAAGGAATAGTTTAAACACTTTTCTTTCTTAAAATTAGTTTAAGATAGATAGGTAAGTGTACATGGTCAATTTCAAATGTTTAGTGATTATGTCCATGATATTGTTGTAATGTCCCATTACTGCACATTATGACCCAAGTTTAACACAAGGACTGTACTTACTGGTCCTTGCCAAGAAATAGTCTAACATGTAACCTCCTGTAGAAAGTTCCACAAACAAGATACAACACATTAATTAGTGAGCTGCAGAGGTGCTGGTAGACATATTATGTTGCCTTTGGACAGAACTAAGCTTACCGTTGGCGCTAGCTACATATATTGCTTGTAGACTTAAGAGTGGTATTGATATTCTCATCTTATTCTCAGCAAGAAAGTCAATAAGCGTATTTCCTAAAATGTTGAATGTTTCATTTAAAGTGATGTCATTGAAACCACACATTGTGAGTCCTCTTCACTAACATCATTATAAACACAAAGGAGAAAGTGATGCTCTTGATGTTTGTTTGGAATGATAGAATAAAGACTTCTAACATGCATATGGCTGTTCATCCCCCCAAACCAAGTCTGAAAGCCTTCAATAGTCAAGAATATACGTATATTCATAACATCACTGTACTATAATACATTACTCAGAAGCCTTTCAAATGCTGGTACTTGTGGTAAAAAAATACATTAAGTTGCAGAGTGACCATTCCGGGAATGTATAGTAAGGACTTTATTAATGAATAAGTTTGGCAATATTCTGTACTTTATTGTCAGCAAATGCCATGAAAAGACCCAGACTGTTTTTGACATGTTTTTTGTCAGCTTTATCCTTTAGCCTTACACTAGATTTGACTGCCATCCGAAATAACTCTTAATATACGTGGTGGACAGAAACATAATTCAGAAATAACAGTTTCTGATGTGTATCAAACTTGTGTGTGTGTTTGTCCTCTCCCAGGTTTGTGATACGTACCCATCACAGCTGTTTGTTCCAAAGTCAGCCACATCCGCCATCATCGTGGGCAGCTCAAGGTTCAGGAGTCGAGGACGATTCCCTGCTCTGTCCTACTTCCACCAGGACACACTGGTCAGTGTGATGTGCACACACACACAGGAATAATCATGTGTGTATATCTTTTGAAAGATTGAACCGTTAACTTACCCTTTAAGTAAGAGTTGAGTTGAGTAAACAACAGAATTATCCAGATCATCAAAATCAAAATAAGTTTGGAATCAGTGATGTTTTTTCTACTTTCGACTTTTCTACTGATCCAAATGGAAACATTAACCACATCTGGACTAGTAAAATGTGTAATGTGATAAAGATTATGATGTTTCATTGTCATCCAGGCAGCAGTGTGTCGGTGTAGTCAGCCACTGTCCGGCTTCAGTGGACGCTGCCAGGAGGATGAGATGATGCTGCAGGTTGTGATGAAGTCCAACCCTGGCAGTGACTACATCTATGTGGTGGACACCAGGCCAAAGGTATCTTCTCCCCCCACTCTCTTCGTCACTCACACATCCAAGTATTACAAGTTAATAATATGAATATACTATAGAGCTATATACACAATATACAATAAACATATTCGTATTGAACCGTTCGATACGAGGCTCACGGTTCGGTACACATTACGAACTGAACAATATGTTTGAATAATACTATTGCATTTATGCAGAAGCTTAAATTGTGGATATAAATAAATATATCTCTCGGTGGAGCCACTGTGCTCAACATGGCAACCCACCCGACGTAACAGACAAGGTGCTGTCTGACACTCCCACCACGTAACAGACAACGTGCTGTCTGACACTCCCACCACGTAACAGACAACGTGCTGTCTGACACTCTCACCACGTAACAGACAACGTGCTGTCTGACACTCCAACCACGTAACAGACAACGTGCTGTCTGACACTCCAACCACGTAACAGACAACGTGCTGTCTGACACTCCCACCACGGAAGAAAAACATTCTACTCTAGTGAGCCACGTTTGTTCTGGGAGGCTATGCTAAACTAGCTTAGCAAGAAAACCAACAGCAGGACACACGCTACAAACTCTCCCCGCAGCGTTTAGGTAGCTACTCCCTACTGATTCAAACAGGGCTAAAGGTATATTTATAGCCGTGGATATGAGACCTACTCTGGAGTGGAAAACCAGGCTGTACGAACATGCTTAATGCTATTGAGCCCCGTGACACTACTCAATCACGAGCCCATTTCACCAAACCATAATTCCTGCTTTGTAAAAGAAAACTGTAGCGTGAACGGCTCCTGCCCCGTGTCTAAGCGGGGAAGGATTATGCAACTAACACGGTGGTAACTCCGTCGTCTGTCCCACCTGAAAGGATATACGTTCCTCTTGGAGGTGTCGGAACAATACCTTCGGCCTTTTATCTCACCCCGTAGCTGAATGTTAGGATTTCGGAATTATTGTCTTTCTGAAAGTCTTTTACGGCTATACGCCCTAGGCGCTTTCAGTAGGATGTAACACTAACACCCAGTATGAATAGTTATGTACATCGTCTATACTTTACTATTGCCTATTGTGAACATTCTCACCATTTTATGACTAACACTGCAAAGTCTTCACCCAGGGTACTCACCTTTAAGTTCCTCTGGTAGTTTCAGTCATCACATCTTATCACACCGTTAACGGACAGGGGAAGAGGGTTAAATTGTTCTAAAGGACCAGAATACTTTGTTTGGCTTCAGACACTTACAAATGGTAAGGCCGTGGTTTTATTAAAGTTTTTCACACAACAATCACATACTACAATTTCAATTCAATGAAACAGTCTCTGTGCTACAATAACTAATTCTAACACTCCTACTGTAATAACTTTTTCATCTTAATCAGCTTTCACTGATTTGCTATGAGGTATAATCCAGTCACTCTGGAATGCTCCCCCTTTTTCTCTTCTCTCAGTCTCTGCTCTGCTGTTTTCCTGCATGTTTTGCAGGCTCGCTCAGTCCGCTCTCTCTGTGAGTTTTTTCTTTTTCCTTTTTTTCATGCTGTCCTTTGATAGCAGAAAGGTCTTCTGTCCCCTTATAAGTGGGTAAGACAGCAGAAGGGTCTTCTTGTCCTCACTTCCTAGGGGGTAAGCCCCCTAAGTGTCTATTCAAGAAGTCTGTCCCACTCTCTAGTTGGGGAAAAGCCCAAACTCACAGTTTCTCTGCTTCTTTTTATGCTGATAAAAAGCTGGCACCTCCTTCAGGTTCATGAGTCACTCACACATGAGTCCTCCTCTTTCTAAGTCAGACACAGAATGTAACTGGTGTGATCCTGTTCAGAAGAGGAAGGATTGTATAAGTTTTGAGTGACTATTTTATATAAGGCGTCTATGCAGTTTATATGGTTAATCACGTCTATCAAAAAATAAAACAAGTTATAGGTTTAATCACTTCTATCATGAATTAAAACAGTTTATATGTTTAATGGTTATACTTTGAATCAAAAAGGTTACAGGTTATTATAGTTATACTGTTATGCTTTCATACTTTTCTACGTTCTTTCAACAAAACAAAAGCCCAAACAGAGAATCAAATGTCCTAAGCACCCACTGCTGCTCTGACAACAGACGGCCAGACGTCACAGACTACACAAAGCTAGCTGACTGTAACGACACATTACCTCACTACTGAATGGAGATGAAGAGCCATGTTCTTCAGACACGCCCCCTTGAGAGTGTCACCAGCAAGGATTTGGCATTTCTACTTTTTTGCTGTATTGGAAACGTACCGAACCGTGGCACCACTGTATCGTATTGAACCGAACCGAGAATTTTGTGAACCGTTACACCCCTAAAATATATATATATATATATATATATATATACATACAGTATATATATATATATATATATATATGAGCTAATATTCACATACAGTACTGTGTGTGTGTGTGTGCGTGTGTGTGTGTGTGTGTGTGTGTCCAGCTGAATGCCATGGCAAATCGAGCAGCAGGTAAAGGCTACGAGAATGAGGACCACTACACCAACATCAAGCTGCAGTTCATTGGCATCGAAAACATCCACGTAATGAGAAGCAGCCAGCAGAAAATTATTGACGGTGTGTGCGTGTGTCCAGAACAAATTATACAAAGATGCAGCACGAGATGGAAAACAGAAAACAGCTATTTTCAAGTTATCACACAGATCTGTTATCAGTAAATAATTCAGACTTTCTCTAATAGCATCTCTCCTCATTTTCCTGTGTCTCTCTGTTCCATGCAGTGGGCGAGATGAGATCTCCGTCCATGACTGACTTCCTGTATGGTCTGGAGAACTCTGGTTGGCTCAAACATATTAAAGCCATACTGGATGCGGGGCTCTTCATAGCAAGAGTGTGTACTCAGACAGACATACACAAACCCACACACAGGCAGGCGCTCAGACAGACACACTCTCACAGCTACCACAAATATTTCTATAATCTGTCTAAAAACGTATAAAACCTAGGTGTAAATACAACAAAGAATCAATGATGATCTTTTCAAGCTTTATAGATTAACAGTTGGTGACTATATGCATCATCATGCTATTACGGAAATGGTCACAACATAATCAAATTCTCTTGAGGTAGCACGCATTTTAGGAAACCGAAAGATGGTGAGAAAGCAAAATTAGGTGTTTACTGCTAGGTACAGTGTGTAGTATTTTGGGGGATCTATTAGCAGAAATGGAATATAATATTCATAACTATGTTTCCATTAGCGTATCATCACCTGTAACTAATAATCGTGTTTTAGTTAGCTTAGAATGGGCCATTCCTATCAACATAGGGAGCGGGTCCTCTGCACAGTGTCCACCGTGTTGCACCGCTTTTTTTCTACAGTAGGCCAGAAGGAACAAACCAAATACTGGCTCCAGAAAGAGCCTTTTGCATTTTTATGTTACCTGAAGGCCATTGTAGTTCTCCGACACTCTGCGGTAACGTGAGCCACAGAGTGCAAAACTATGCTACTTCCAGCCACTGTCGGACTTCCATTGCTCCTTGAGTAGTGTCATAGTGTCATTGTGGTAAGGATGGCCAACGGCTTTACTATGGTTTTGCACTCAGACGCTCACTTTACGGCAGTTCTGGAAAGGGAGGAGTACTCAGAGGGGTAGTTAGTTACCACTAGATGCCACCAAATCCTGCACACTGCCCATTTAAATGGCAAAAGAAGGCAACTGGAAATACATTCCCTGTTGTGTAAACCAGTGATGCATTGTCAGCTGTCAATGTACTCAAGCTACATAATAAAGATATGCAACTACAAGACTGTTGTAAATCCCAGATGAAAAGCCAATAAAGGTGAGACATAGCATTTTTCATATTGACACATGGCATATTAGTTATAAGACAGTAGTCTACAATAAGTTACATAAACAATTTTTCATTTTCTATTTTCAGTATAATTTAATATGATTGATTAATAGTATCTATTTATCCATTCATTGTTTAGTCTACAAAATATGAAAAAAAGAATTAAATAATAATAAAAAAAACATTGCAGGGACCAAGCTTGAAAATTGTTTGCTACTGTGATAGCTTGCAGTCAAATGCTTTCTCATATTATATTATTATATGTTTTAGAGACCCAAAGATCCACTACTCAAGCTTGATGTTTTTAAATACAGGGCTGTTTTTGGTCTGAATGCCTGGTCAGGTTGCTGCTGTAGTTTAACTGCTCTCTCCCTCTCTCCCTTTAGGCAGTGGCCGATGAAGGTGTCAGTGTGTTGGTTCACTGTTCAGATGGCTGGGACAGGACGGCCCAGGCCTGCTCTGTAGCCAGTATCCTGTTGGACCCATACTACAGAACCATCAAAGGACTCATGGTAACACACACACAATACTGACAATTCTTATTTGAAGACCATCTCAGTTCTCATCTCTGATTCTTGCTCTCTCATTCTCCTCCCTTCCTTTCCATCTCTTCCTCTTCTGTCTCCTAGGTGCTGATAGAGAGAGACTGGGTCTCCTTCGGACACAAGTTCTCCCACAGGTAACTGTGGTCGTCTGACTTAAACAGACTACAAACAACAGTGTCTGTAACATCATTACAATAATTATTCTTACTTTATTTTGAGAGACTACAATAAAACTAGTTTCATGCAATGGATAAACAGAAAGTTTATATCTCTTTTTGTTAGTTGTTAATGGGTCAGTCCTGTGATAGTCTGGCATCCTTTCCAAGGTTTACCCCACCTCTCGCTCAATGTCAGCTGGGATCAGCTCCATCCTGTAAAGCAGTGGTTCTCAAACTTTTTCTGTCACGCCCCACTTTGGAGGAAGAAAAATGTTCATGCCCCACCGCCCCAACAAAATTGTAACAAAATGGTCCATGTTGAACTTCTATTGAAATAACAACATTTTGACTCCTCCATCTGTGCTTTTTCAAATATTAGAATAAAGAAAATTGCAATCACTTTCAAGTAAACCAGATTGCTCCATCAGACAAAAACAAATAAAATGTGCAATCACTTTGTTAGAACAATGCAAATGAAGTTCTATCTGTGCAAAAAATAACTAATATTTGGCAAGAAAATAGCTTATTGTGGCTGCAATTAACGTGTTTTTCACTGAATATATTTTCAAGATAATAATAAAGTGCAACCTGTGAAAAACTAAACAAAACAAGTTCAAATATTTGGGAATAAAGAGTTTTACACTGCATATCTTTTCAAAACAACAATAAGGTGCAACCTGTGCAAAACAAAATTAGTGCAGATATGTGTGAGCCATCAAGTTTTATCAGTATTAGTGGCTGCAATGAGCCTGCTTTCCACTACAAATCTTTTCAAAACGGGGTTGCAGACTTGATACGGCCACTCTCAATTCATGCTCAATATTGAGCTTAGATCTGAATTTTGTTTTGAGAGAGGCAACAGCAGAAAAGCCAATCTCACAAAGGTAGGATGTGGCGAAGGGACGCAGAATGCCCACAGCCCTCTGTCCGATGACGATGAGTGGATGCTCCCTCTCCACACCAAGCCAGAACTCACTCAGTGTTTGAGCTGTAAACCTCAGCCTCCGGGTAGAGTCGGGTCGTCATCTCGATAATGTCTCTTCATTTTGCACACTAAGCTACACATGTGAGTCGTCAAGGATCTTGGCCGCCATGCATGCGCAACCGTAACCTGTTAACGGCGTAACGTAAACATTTACCCGACAGTACAGGCATTTCGCCATGTATTTATTAATGACTTAGTTTTATGTCCGTGTACTTTGTATTTTGTAATATGTGAAGTTCTCAATAAAGTTCTTGAAATAAAAAAATTCTGCATTTCCCCCTGCGCCCCACATGTAATACCACAGTTTGAGAAATACTGCTGTAAAGGATGATTACAAATAATGGATAAATGGACATAAATCACATATCCAAAATACCATACCCAAAGTACAGAAAAAATAAATACAAAAAGTAGAACAATTTATAAAAGAGAGAGGGAGAATAGCACATTTTTAGGTTGAAATGACCTACAGCCTTCTACAGCTCTTACATGACAAACTCTGCAAACACACCTTCCACAACAACATGTTATAATCACCACTTTATGATCTAAGTTTCTTTTTTGAATGAAAAAACATCCACCTATGAATTCCAGTTTTTACACATTTCCATATTTACCTGTCAATGTTGACATTGAAAGCCTAGCAAAACGGTCTGGCTGGAAGACTTCTAATGTGAACGATCTGCTGCAATCATGATTGCTTTTCATCAATTGGGAAAAACAGAAAAGTAAAGAACATGGATGTTCTTAAGAGAGCTGCAGGTTCTTATAATGCATCCCTTCACCGGAATTTATTGATGAATGAAAACAGTATTTCTGTTAGAGAAGAGAAAACAAGAGCAGCAGTGTGGTTTGTATGTTTCACTGAAGAAAATATAAATAATACAGAATTTATCAAGACAAAACATAAACATGGAGGAAGTTTTGAGTTTACATTAATGGGAAATCAAGTGGGAATATAAACCTATCTTTAATCTGACTGTACAAAATAAAGGACAGTTTTTTTTCTCTCATTGAGGTAAATAATAAAGGCCACTATTTGAGAATTTACAGTAATAAACAAACTTCCATTATTCGTTTTCACCATTTCTCTTTTTATTAATAAGCTTGTCTTGCAGTTATTCTAAAATAATGCTTAATAGCTAGACTTTTGTTATTATTCCAATGAACAATGAAGTTCTTAGCCAACAGTGTTGTTTTTATTTGGTTGTTTTAATAAATGTGGTGAAAGCTATGTATAATAATTTGTACCTTACCTTGAACTGAGATTAACTTGTTTCTTGTACATTAATTGAATTACTTGTGAAAGTTTTGGTAAAATTGGATTTGACAAAAGCCCAAACATAATATTTCACATACCTGTTGAAAGTTACCAGAGCTCAAAGTGACAGTCGTCATACTGCTAATATTTCATGAGGATGTGAAATTGAGCAAGTAAATCTTAACATTTGTGATGCCCTGACCACTGCTAATCACTTATTGTTACTGAACAAATAAGTAAATTTAAGTTTTCATTATATTAATATAATTATTTATTGTCCTTTCAATGTCAAATGTCCTCTTTCTTGTTCCTGGAGGAACTGTACAGCACTGAAGTGTGTCTTATCCAGCTCTTTAGAATTGAGACTGTTTTATCTTCATGTATGTCTGTTCAATATTTAATAAATAATTTGTTTTTTTTGAAGGGTGTGTAGTGTGATGGACAGTTAAGACGGAGCTGTGTCTCTACAGGTACTCCCACCTGGATGGAGATCCCAAAGAGGTGTCTCCTGTCATCGATCAGTTTCTGGAGTGTGTGTGGCAACTGTCTGAGCAGTTTCCGTGCGCCTTTGAGTTCAACGAGCGCTTCCTCATTGCCATACACACACACATCTACTCCTGTCAGTATGG